CCCTGCCCCGGCCCAGCCTGGCCCGTCACACCCCGCCGTGGCAGCGGTGCCTCTGCAGGCTGCAGCCTCCGGCTAGAGCTCCTGGCTGCTCCCGTGGGATCTGGGGCTTCAGAGCCCCTTGGGAAGGGATCCAGCCTCCCCGGACAAAGGGGAACCAGCCTTGGGGCCTCGCTGCCGTCCTGTTGCTGCTGGAGCCAGCAGTGGCCCCGCGATAGCCGGCAGTGCTCGATTCCCCGCCGGAGCCATGCAGGTGGGTGTTCTGCTGCACTCGGAGCCGGGCGCGGGAGCCTCACGGGGGCCCTGGGGCTGCTGCGGTGCCAGACGGGATCGCTGCTCTCCTGCCCGTGTCCTGGGCCACTTCCTGCCCAACCTGTTTGGGGCTGCAGCCTCCTGAGCCTCCTTGCGGCCGGGCTGCCCTTGGCCAAACATTAACCCGGGCCGGGGGGCGGGCGGGCAGGATGCGATGCAGCGCAGCCGTCCCGGCCACAGCGCGGGCGAGCGCAGGGAGAGCCATGGATTGGTGGAGGGGGCTCCTGGTAAGTGCGTGCCGGCCACATGCTCCAGCGCCTGCTGCTCTGCCCTCCTGCCATTTCCTTCTTTCCTTGTATTGCGAAGCAACAAAGTGGGCACCTGCTGCCCGGGTTCCTCTTCCATGCAGTGCACAGAGCCCACTCGTTGCACTCAGAAAGGTGAAGACAGGGTCCCGCGGGGCTTCCCGGGGCAGCAGCCCCATGGCAGTGCATCCTGCGGGACAGCTCGAGCCGCTGATTCTGTCTTTGCATTTCTGAGCTGTTGGTGAAACTGCTGCTCCTGCTTGGCCTGCCATGGAGGTCGGGGTCAGGGACATGGGGGTGACATCGCTCCCCCTGAGCATCACAGGGCTCTTGTCACCTTCTCGGCTGTTACCAAAATGCTTGTTGCCCAAAAATTTGGCTTTAAGGGTGCCAAGAGCCATAGGAACTACAGGACCGCTCTACGGAGCACGCGTGCGCATCTTCTGCTGAGCGTGTGCAGGGGCTGAGACCTGGCCACGCGGTTCTGCCTGCTGGCGGAGCGGGACCCGAAGGCTGTTTGAGCAGCCCGCTGGGCCCTGCAGCGAGCTGCCCGTCAGGATGAGCCTCTCCGGCGCCCAGCTCCGCTTCCCTGCGCGGAAGGAGCCGGGCAGTGCCAGGCCTGCCAGTGCATGGAGGTGCTGGTGCTGGGCTCGCCGTGCGGCTGCCGCGGAGCAGGGACTGGGCAGCTGTTGCAGCCACCCCTTGCTCTGTCCTCTCCTTTGCTTCCATCTTTTCTTTTATTTGGGAATTTCGGACTGTTTAAAAGCTCAGACGAGGGGCCCTGCTCTAGAGCAGGGCTCTATGCGGGCTCAGCTCACAGTGCCTGGTGCTGCCTCGCGTGCCAGGACAAACCTTGTGGCCAGGCCGTCAGCAGCCGCTGCCCAGGCCAGACGCAGCCAGCGCGGGCGCCCGCGGTGCCGGCAGCGCCGGGTGCGCCCTGCGTCGGGCGCGTGGGTGACTCAGCGTCCGCGGGCAGCTGGGGAGGGCGACCGGCAGGCACTAAAACAGCCCGAGAGCAGAAGGGATCCAAGGGCCTGTGCTGGATCGGCCCCAAGGCTGATGCGATTACTACTACTAATAATAATAAAAAAGCAGTTAAGGAGCCATTAGGGAAGCGACTTGGGCAGAGCTCACTGAGCAGCGGGTGCAGCGCGCGGTGCTGGAGCTGTGCTGGGGCTGCCGCGGGGCCGGACGGCTCTGAGCCCAGCCGCGGCCTCACGGTCAGTGCTCAGCCAACGAGGCCTTTCTTTTCTCTTCCAGTCTGCAGAATTCTTCGAAATGCTGGAAAAAATGCAGGTGAGGGGTAACGCTCAGCGGTAACGCTGCACCTCAGCGGGCTTGCGGAGACTCCTCCGGAGCAGCTGGTGACACTCCGGGTGTGAGCGCTGGGAAGACCTCGCACTCATGCGGCATGTGCTGCATTTCCCTGAGGGCACCACAGCAATGTGATTCCCACTGAGAAGGGTCCTGGAAGATGCTTTTCCACTCAGATTTAGCATACGTCATGCAGACGTGTCCCAGACTGGGCCCAGGTGCAGAGCAGCACTTCCATGCTTCTCCTTGGGCTTATTCCAGGCTGCTCAGAGGTGTTTTCCAGCAGAAGTGCTGGCTCTCGCCCTGACTGTCCCATGTGCCCAGGGCCTTGCTGCTGCTGCTGGAGGGTCGTGGGGAGCAGCTCGGGAACCCTCTGCACCCCTCGCTTCCAGGGGGTTCCCTGTGCCCGCATGTCGCGGTGGTTTTGTCTCTGCTCTTGAGAAGATCTAAATAGGTCAATCTGCTGGTTTGTTTCAAACAGGCACCAAAACTGGAAGAACAGAGAGCTGGAAACCAAAAGCATAAGGTCAGTTGAGTTTTGCTTCTCAGGCAGATCTTCTCTGCGCCCCCTCCTCTCTCCTGTAATCCCCAGGAGTCAGGGGGCCCTGACAGGGGGTCAAAGGCAGTCACTAAAAGGTCTAGAAAAAGGATTTGGGTGTTATCTAGAAACCAAGCTCTGATTAAATGCAAAGATAAGATAGTGGTGCATGTAAATCCCTAATCCAGCTTTGTGTCAGACCTGGTATTTCTGTGGCGAGCCATGTAAAATTGTTGTTTTTTGTATGTCAGGCTGAGAAGTTTAAACTGATGCTCCACAAGGGCCTCGGGTGGTGCAGGATGAGGGGGCTTGACACTGGGTTTAAAAAAAGCAGCAGCTGGGTTAAAGCAGGAGGGTCACGGGCCCAAGGCAGCGGGGAGGCGCTGGCCCTCGGTATTGGGAACAGGGAGTCACCCGGGCTCTCCTCCCTCTTCCTGCAGGAGGACTACATCCCGTACCCCAGCATCGACGAGGTGGGTGCACCAAAGCGCCTCCAGGTGCCAAAGTGGCGCTAACAGGGACCCGTGTGGAGATGCTGCAGCCGGGCGAGCTGCGCAGTGCACGTCACCCCCGGACCGTGCGGGTCTGCAGCCGGGCACGCGATCCGGGGACGCTCCAGCGCTTCCCAGCCGGCTCAGGGCACCTCTGGTTGCAGGTCATCGAGAAGGGGGGCCCGTATCCCCTTGTCATCCTGCCCCAGTTCGGGGGGTACTGGATCGAAGACCCTGAAAACCTGGGCACCCCCACCTCGTCCGACAGCAGCGTCTGCGAGGAGGAGGAGGAGGGTTTGAGCCCCGGTGCCGGCGGCTACCGGCTGGAGTGCAAGGGGGCCGTGGGGGCGTACCGCAGGCACTTCCTGGGCAAGGTGGGTCCGCTCCCGAGCCGCGGGGGCCCTGAGCCGAATCCCCGAGCAGCACCAGCCGATCCAGCAAGGTGCCGGCCTGCCATTGCACCCGCTTCCCCCCGCGAGCCCGCGCGGTTTTGCCGTTGGTGAGCTCCTTATCACGCTACTAACACGTCTCCTCTATTTTTAGGATCATTTAAATTTTTATTGCACAGCCAGCAGCCTGGGAAATCTGATCCTTTCTATTAAGTGTGAAGAGGCAGATGGCACTGAGTATTTAAGGATTATACTCAGGTATGGGGAAAAACAGCCAGGAGTTGAATAAAATCGCTGCTCTTGGCAAGAGCCTGGCTGGCCGGCGCGGCACAGGATGGGGCGC